AAAAAAAAAAAAAAAAAAAAAAAAAAATATCCTCCTAGAGCATCTTTTTGTCTGAAATTGGCCTCACCACCTGGGACCTAGAGCTCCAGCAGCCCCTCTCCACCCCATGTCCCCACAAGGAGATGCAAGTTGGCCATCCCCACCATGCACACACTCCAGAGGAGCTGCCAGCCTCCCAAAGCAGTGCGTGCAAGCTGCTCGTCCAGATGGACTCTGAAAGCAAAGCCACCTGAGGTATTGTCCCATCAGGAACAGCAATGGTGGTGGGACCTCTGGAGATGCTGGAAGATTGTCAGCCCTGCGGGGTGCAAGGCACTTCGGTCTCTAGGAGGAACAGGCTCCTTGCTGGGTCTCATACCTCTGAGGCTGCACCTTGCAGCAGTCCTGCCACTTGCTTTCTCTGCTTCCTAGTTTGTTTTATAAACTGGAATTTTGTGACCTGTTAGCCATGTCATAACTTGTGGCTGTCAGCAAAGTAGTTCTGCCTGGCTGCTGTGAATGTCTTGCTGTGGTGAGGCTTCCCTATCCCCATCCCAACCTACACATCTAGGAAGGGGCAGAAAGCAGCTGGCCAGGGGATGCTGCATTACCACCACCACCACCACACTCCATTTTTCACTCCGCCATTATCACTGTGACACCTAACTCGGCGTTCCCCGGAGACCGTGTTAGCCTAAATATTCTCAGGGTCCTTCTGCTAGCCAGTACCAGCTCTTGCTGATAGGCTCAGTTGCTAGCCTGGCATATGCATCCCCTCCTCTTTCCTTCCCAGAGTGCAGAGAAGTGCATTGGGAACTCCAGCTGTTCCCCATCTCCACTGTTTTGTGCACTACTAGACCTCGGGCTGTGCTGCAACATTTTCACCAGGTGCCTCCTCCCTCTCCCCTGCCCAGAGCAGTAGAACCGATGCGCCTCTCCAGTCAGTATTTTGGGGCCCTTTTTATGGATTGCTTTGTTTTGTTTTTAATTATTATTTTAGAGCAAGGAGTGGGTGGGATCTAACCAGATGGAGCTACCCAGCACGGCATTTCTGACTCCTTGGTTTCCATCCCTCCTCTTTGGGGTGTTCGTTTGCTCCTGGACTCTGTCCTAGCCTTGTGGTATCATGGCACTGCAGTCGCTGGCTTATTTGGTGCCCAGTGATCTCTGTTCAGACAGGCTAGTGATAGGGGAGTTGGGTCATCCCAAAGGCAGATGCATTGGCACTTAGCAGGGCGCTTGGCCACTATGGGCAAATGCCTATCAGTGCCCTGCAGCTGACTGCAGCGAGTTGCCCCTTCCTGAGGCAGTTCTTGCAGAGGAGTATTGAATACTGCAGCCCCCGTAGATCTCTGCTCTGTTGCCTGGTGTGGCTTTGCCCTTGTCTGTTGCATTGTACAGTAGCTATAACCATTCAAAGAGAAACTCCTCCTGTAAAATGCAAACTGAATAACTTATAAATGTTAATGGATTTTTTTTGTTAAATCAGAGCAGCAGTTGGTATTTTTTAATTTCCCTACCTTTTTTTTTTTTTTTTTTTTTTTTTTTTATGAAGCGGATTGTAAGGATTTTATATTAGCCTAATCGCCATCAGGTTTCGATTGGTCAGAATAGCCCCAGAAATGAGACTCTCCAGCCTTCTTTTTGTAAATTTTTTTTTTTTTTTTTTTGGTTACAAAATTTGGAGAAAAAGTTTTAATAAAGATGTCAGTTTTTACAAACCCCTTGTATCGGCTCTCTCTCACTGCCCCCTTTCAATCCTGGGAAGCGCGAGATAAGGGGGTACCTTGGTTCTTTCCCCCATGGCTTGGAGCAGGGCGCCCCGTCCAAAGCAAGATGCAAAGCTGCTTTTGGCCAGCGTCTTGAAACTGCCAGGATTAGTTTGTTGTTTAAGCCCCAGACAATGGGAGTGCATGTGCTTCACTGCCCTAATATGTTAAAAAGGCCTCAGGCTAGGCTGAAAAAGGAGAAATAGCAAAGAAGTATAGAGCCCTATATAGCCTTCTGGAGGACCTGGGTAGTGGGCCAGGCAGGGCTGCCAAGTTCAGTGCAAGTTCTTCACTGGGGAGGGGAATGCAGAATTGGGAAGCGCTGACTGAAGGTGCGCTGGGTTTTTAGAACAAGCCTGATCTCTGTAGGGCAGGGCTGGCTTTTCTGGTGTGCGGGAAAGAGGCAGAGGGAGACATGTCAGAGGGAAGCTGGAATCCTAGCACCTGTGTGGGTCGCTGAAATGCTAACCAAGCACCTGCACAGACTGGGGGGTGGAGGGGGATCTTGCACCCCCATTGACTCAGCCTGCTTGCAGAGCTGGGACTGCTGCAGAGGAAGCCATGCTTGCCTCTTTGAAAGCAGAAATGTTTGATTTTTTTCCCCCTTCTCCTTCGCACTAAGTGGAGGTGGATGGAGGAAGCTGCAGGCTGAGTTGTTGGAAATCTTAGGTAGGGAAGAGTCTGAGTGGGGCAGGTGCAGAGCCTTGCAGCTGCTACAGATGGATGGCACCTGGTCCACGGGGAGCTGAAAAAGATGGGACGGTGCTCTAGCTGCTAGCACTCAGCTTGCTAAAGCCCAGCATGGGAGACTGGAGCATCTCTTGGGAGTGCAGCAGGCACCCCAGGACGTGATGGCTCCCTTCCCCAGGGGTTGCTCAACTAGGGGTGGGAAATGGGGGAAACTCCCTACTTCTTGGGAAGGTGCTGGAGAATCTGGCCCTTCAGAGATGAAGGGGGCTGCATGTCTCCCAGGCTCTGCTTGTGGGCCTCTGTCCTCTCTGGGCTGGTTTGGCCCCCCAGGGCATCCTCTCTGCATGTCTGGGATGGGGGTGAATGCAAGAAGACGGTCCCTGCTGGGCCTGGGGGTGGGTGCTCGCTTCGGTAGGCTTCTCTGCTCAGCTTGCACAGAGCGAACATGCCTTGGCTGTGAGGTCAGCCTCTGCCCTTTGTTATCAGCGGAGGCCCAGGCTGCTTCCTGGAGAGGAGGGGGAGGCTGCGATGCGGCACCCCATGGACAGGACAGGACAGGAGTGCTTGGGGGGAGCAGGACTCTGCTGTGCTCCAGCAGCAATGGATGCAGCGGGACTAAGGGGAGCAGGGCTGCGGAGGGGAGCTGCCTTGCCCAGCAGATGCATCGCTCCTGGTTGCCCGCACCGTGGCCGAACGCAGCTACCTCGAGGGGTTTCTGCTTCCCACCGCCTGGCTGGCAGGAACATCATCCTTGTCTGTGGCCTGTTTAGCTCTGGATTTGCCCTCAACACCCATCCCTCCCCCTCCTGCTGCCATGTGAGCATGGTTCAAGAAGCAGCAGGGAGGTTTCCCCAACCTAATTACTGGGCTTTTTCCCACAGCCCAGCCTTGGGACACCCTCTGCTTTGGGATCTTCGCTGGAGCTTAGCATGGAGGCCTGTTATCGCCTGGCCAGCCTGTGGCTGCATTGCCTTTTCTTCCAGCCATGGCGCCCGCTCCCTCCCTTGGGGCGGGGGCTGAGGCTGAGCTCTGTGAAAGCTGGATCTTCTGCCCGCTGACTCACGGAGGGAGGGCCTAGTCAGGCAGGCAAGTCCAAAGAAAGCTGCTGGCACAAATGGCTGGTGCTGGGTGGGGTTGGGATTAACCCTCTGTGCTCCGGGAGAAACGGCTAACGCATCGCCTACGCGATGGAGCACAGCCGCTGTCCCCCCTCCTTGCGTCTGCCCCACTGGCAAGGGGCTGCTCCTGCCACGGATGAATGAAGGGCTTCAGGCTGTAGCAGTGGAGCCCTTCCTGCTCGTGCAGAGGGAGGCAGCTGCCTGGGGTCCCTACGGGGCCAAAAATGCGGTGGTGGAAGGGAGTGGCACCAACATGAATTGCCACTCGCCTGCTGCCGAATTTCTGTGGGGTGGCCGACCTGGCCCTGCCACCAGCCGGGCTGACTGGGGGTGCTGCTGAACTAACTACATCAGATCATGTGCTTCTGTGAGCGGCTGCCTGGCTGTTGGGCTCCCAAAAGCTCACGCCGTACCCCTCTGGTTTAGTTTGTAGGGTGCAGATCTACCCTTCTGGTACTTGGGGATGCACCCACGCCTGCTGGGCACCACCAGTGGCTGCCAGGCCCCCGTCCATGGCCACACGCTCCCCCGTGGCTGTGAACCCTTCAGCATGTGCTGCTGTTCTGCCCACTCCTTTCAGGCTCAGCTCTGGCCAGCTTGTCTGAAGCGGGCTGGGTCGGTGGGTACAGCGCAGCTATCAGCTGTGCAGGTTGGGCTGAGCTGGCACACTGCCCGCCCCCCTCCTTGCAGCTCTGCTTGTTGCTCTACTGAAGGGGTCCAAGCTACCAAAGCAGTGGTTTATCTCAAGGAACCACGGCATCAAGGGTGGGGGGGTCCTGGCAGTGCTAGGCTGCTCCACTGTATCAGCCCCTGTCCTCACTGAACCCCAGGGCGTGCCCGCAGCTGGGGCCTGGATAAGTCTCCCTCCTCCTCTTTTGCTCTAGCGCCCCAACCCGACTTGTCTCTAGCGTGCAACATGGCAGGGGCTCTTATCTGCCATGCCCAGCACGGTGGGGCCCTGGGCGTACCAGGGCTGCACAGGCGTGGAGCCCGTGGGTGGAGGCTGCCATGCCACTGTGAGCAAAGCAAGCAGCAGCGCTGGGGATCGTGCACCATCCCAGCCACTTGGGCAGGCTAGGGGGTGGGGAGGGGCTGGTGCTGCACTGACTCATTTCAGTACTTGATCCCTAAGGCACAAGCATCAATTTGTGGGGGGAGAAGAGTCATGGCTCTGGGTTGCAGCTCACTGGTGTGTATAAACTGGCCCCTTGGGCAGAAGGGCTTAACAGGGTCATCCAGATGTGCAAGCCAAGGCAAAGCAAATGTGAAGCGGGGGCTGCGGGAGTTGGCCCTGAGCTGGGAACTTGCAGTACTGGCCCTTGTAACCGCAGATAAGACACCAGGTTTTGTCTCCCTGCTTTGGTCTTTGGGGGTGGTCAGGATTGCCTTGCTCTCAATGCAGGGGCTCTAATCCTCCTGCGATACAAATAGTTAATATGCCATGGCAGACTGGATCCACCCCCCTCTCTCCCCTAGCTCTGCTTGGGCTTGTGGGGAGGCTTTTCCAGCTGGGGAAAGGCAAGGTGGGTTTGGCCAGTGCAGCTGGAGAGGGCACAACTGCTGTGGTTGAACTCCCACTGCCTACCTCCAGCTGGGCCCACACTAGTGCTGCTATGGGCCAATGCATCTCCATGGGAAGAGCTGGACCACAAGCCCCCTTCGCCCTGCCCCAGGGCCAAGGAACCTGGTTCACCAGCTGCCAGGTGAAGCCAACAGAGAAAAGAGCCTGGGGACTTGTGAGATCCTGACCCGGAGACAGCACCACTGGGGGCTGCAAGATACCCCCTCCCCATGGCTGGTGGTGTCTCCCTCTAGCACCGCAAGTCTTCCCCCTCTCTGGCTTAGAGCCCGAAGCAGCAACCACCAAAATGCCTGAACCCCTGCTGCCCTCCAGAGAGGGACCAGCCATGCTGGCAGGCCCAGCGCCCCTCCACCCACACCGTGCAAGCCGCTCTCATCCCTTTCTCCCACCTGCCCTGGAGCCCCCCGGCCCCGGGACACAGAGCAGAGCAGACGGCCCCACAGTGGCTCCTGTACAGTTCCCATTTATTATTTAGAGACCTCCTTCCGGAGAAGAAGTCCGCTAACTCCTGAGCAGCCCGCGCAGGCTCGGCAGAGCCGTGTCTGAAGCAGTGAGATCTGTAGGAGAGCGAGAGGCGCACCGGCTTTGGGGCCTCGAATCAAACTTCCAAAGAAAAGCAAACCCAGACCCTCCCCCCCCACCCCAGATGCTGCGGTGGGGGACCAAGGGGCCTGCACGCAGTCCGGGCTGGAGTGGGAAGGGTTGTGAACACAGCAGGGGGGTGAAGGAGCCATGCCAGAGCCCCGGGGGGGGGGGGGCCC